ATATATATATATATATATAATAAAAAGTCTTTCAAAATTGTAATTCAATATACTCCAAAATATTGCATAAGATGTGCTGGTATGTTATACGTAATTTATTAGAATTAAAATCCTTTGAATTTATATAATGTCGTGTTAAAAATTGCAATGTTTAAATATGTATTTTAATAGTATAAAATTAATTATATTTAAAATAATATTCCATCCATTGAAATAAAATAATACAACAAGTCGATTAAATTTCAAATTATATAAGATTATATATTCTTAATGTAATTAAGAAGAGTTTGAGTAGATGACTTCGACGTGGATAAAATCAAAATTTTCATTTTTTCATTCACGTGTATCACATGGATAAGACAATATACAAGTCAATGTCATGGTTATCCAAAAAAAAAAAAAATATACAAAAAAATGATAATAATAAAACATGGATGAATTTATCAACAAGTCATTGAATTGAGTCATACTAGATTCAATATTCTTAAGCAAGGTCTCATGATTGAATTTTATGCGTGAAAAATATGTATTTGGATAAAAAGAATCTCACTAAAAATGACTAATAGGTTCTCCAACACAGATTAATTATCAACAAAATTAATAAATACTTTAAACCAATGGCATGAATTGAAAAAAAAAAAAAAAAAAAAAGGGATGAATCTGGATCGTAATGTGAAAGGTAGATGACGACGTGATAGAGAACATTTCCAATTGCCAAAAAACATAATAACAGGTGTATAAAATAATAAATATCAATAGTTGCGAAGATCATGACTATGCATTTTGCAACTTGCACATATCTATTCCTCCACATGCCATGTGCTCTGTGGAACTTTCCACTTTCAAGTGAGGCCCGTTCTTGTCCATTCAAGTCCACATTAGCTGTCACCCTCAATTAACACACTCACTTCCTTTTGAGGAAACGAAGATAAAAGGAAATAATATTCCACAGAAACTGGGTCATCTGACCCTCCATTAGTGTTTTAAGATCCTGAACTATTTAGTGCACATGCGAAGAAATTATATTTACCTGTTAACCAATGATGAATGAAATATAATAATCTCACTCAACAGAATAACAAAAAAAATCTGTACTGAGTAATTTCCTGGATCATCCAAACATCTCCTTAGTCCCCCATACAACCCATTAAGATATAAAAGCATATATATACAACCTCAAGGGGTAAAGAAAAACAAACATATACACACAATTTGTATAGAGGGCAAAAATTGATGATGGGACATGAAAGCACAATGCGTATAATTTATTGATATAGTAAAAATTGCAATCCTCTGATACAATAAACCAAGAAATTTCCCTGTACAATAAGAAAATTCCCCTTTTCCATCAAAATAGGTGGAACCCCAAAATTCTTCATATTTACATTTCAAAATATAACTCAAAATAGTGAGAGCAATAAGAGCTTGCCGCCAAAAATTCCCAGCCCTTATGAAGAACTTAGATCCCATGCAGAAGAAATGAATTAGCTTACCTACTTGATGGCATATGAACGAGTACACACTGATTCAAGAGCCTCAGTGAACAAGGAAGAGAAACTGGTCAATGCCTGAAATACTCCAGGCAAGCCTGTTTGCAAATTGTTGAGAGTCATGGCTCTTGTTACTTCCACAGCTTTTGAATGTCTCAGCATTTCATCTTCCACGCGCCTTTGACAGGTTGCCAGCTCCAGTTTTTTCTCGGAAAGTGGGTCACGTGCATCCAAGCCTTGTCCATTGTCAGGTGCAGAATCAGGGAGGCTAATGCCTACCATAGAATATGAGTTGTAGAATTTCCTCTCTATGTTTCTCAGAGAAGAAGCCTTCTTCTCAAGTTCCTTGGAAGCTGTTTCGGTTCGTTTCTTTATCTTGAGCTCTTCAGCTTGCTTGGAGGATATCACATGGACAACATTGATGAAGCTCTTGATGGCTTCAGATGCAACCGTGTCGGGGACACGGTCAAGTGCGAGTTTCCATTCATCAAAAAAGTGGTATGTATCAGAGGTTTCCCTACTGTTGTTATTGATGTTATCATTGTTGACTGGAAGGAGGCTGAGCTTGAACCAGCCATGCAAGGACAGGATGAAGTCGCGCTGAAATTTTATAAGGCGACAGAAACTGGAGTGCCAAGCTGACACAGCCGATTCAAGGTCCCGAGTTGCCTGCCTGTGCAGTTCAGAAGTGGAGTCTCCCCTGGATGATCTGTTCACCAGACCCTGGACTTGCTGCACTATGTTGCTTTGAATTTCATGGTAATGGTGCATTGCTTTCCACATGTACATGAATCTACATTTAAAATATCACAAATTCACACACATCATAAGAATACACTATTATCTGTGAGCAGGCCATCCCCATTTTTAAATAAAAAATTCTCTGTTTCATTGCAAAACAAGCAAACACTAAGAATGATAGATAACCGCATTCCTATCCTCAGAGATGCGATTGTCAAGATTTATTCTCATGCCATGCAGCTATTCTTTTATATGCACTGACTCAGCACAATAATTCTCTGCCACCTTGAAGGTTTATTCAGAATGTGGAAACAACTTGCCATCATGTGGCCAAGGTAGTTGACAATGGCAGCAAAGTTTAAATCGTGAATATCAAGCTCGCATAATTTCACATTAACCTAAAGATAATTTTTTTATGCCATCAACATGTTTAAATAGATTTTCTAGAATTTTACATTCAAGATCTATTAGTTATATTTCAACGGTGTATTACCATAATCATTTTCTATAAATAAAGAAAAGAAAAGAAAAAAGCCTCATTGGAATTACACACACTACCATGGCAATATTGTCGCAGATTTGATTATTTGGAACAATAATTAAAACAGATGAATATCAGTAACATCAATATTTTTCTTTACAGCTTATAACACCCAACAAACAGTCAAACAGTTTAGAATCAGTTAACAAGGGTTATACCATCCTACAATAGTCACTTCAACATACCTAACTCCATCAATAAATTATTTTTGCTCAAACGGATCCTAAAAGAGACAAAATAACATTTTGACAGGTGCAGTGGTGGGCCAAGGTTTGATTATAAGAGGTAGGCAGTAGTTGGACAGTTCGGTACGAAGAAGCACATGCAATTACACAGAGCTGATAAAGCAAGTGGCATACGAGAGCAGTAAGCCATAAAGTTTTCAACTACCACCTAAGATTTTCTTGACTCATACAATCATATTCACACGAGATAAATGAGAAGGAAAAAGATTTGAAAAAAATAAAAAGCATTTCAATTGTTTTCAGTTAAACTTATGTTACAGAGTGTTGGTTATTTGTTACAGGTCAAAGTCCTCAAATTCCACCATCTACATTTGTTTCCGTTAATTTAGTATCCCATGACCAAGCAACAGCATGATCCTAAATTATGGCCACACAACAAGCTGCACAGTCTTCAAAGTATGTTTGATCATGAAGCCTCACAGTCTTCAAAGTATGTTTGATCATGAAGCCTCAAATATCACATTTAATTTGTAAATGGGCACGACAGGATCCAAACACATGGGATTTCTACTACAATTTTTGGGGCCCACTGAATCCATTAAAGTTCATTTATTTACAGTTGTACACACGGAAGTTCAGTGAGATCCCATATGCCTGATTTATTGTCAAATTGGATTGATTGTTAATTACCATAGTTCTTCACTTTATTGTTGGTTAATGATACGCTGATCTAATCTCATTATGCTAGAACTTAATTATGGAGCTATCCCAACATTTGGAGCTAACAGAAGTTAGAAACCAATAAAGCTATGGCAGAAGAGACATACCCATGGCAAAGATCAACAAGCTGAGGGACAAGATCAGAGTCCCTAAGGCCAATAATTGCAGTTGAGGTGGTAGACACAGCCTGAGATGTAACAACTATTAGCGACTGCAGCCTATTTATGGAAGTCTTGGTTTTGAATATCTTAGCTTCATCCTCTCCTTTGTATTCCTGAGTCTGCAGGGCTGACAATTTCTTTTCATGTTCAATCTTCACACCTTCTCTAGCCTAGATTCAAGCAGAATTTGTAGAATGTGTTAGCACAGCTCGTTTCCAAACCACACCACATGGTTTAGGATTTTAGCTAAAAATAAATGCAACAGAACCACCTGACTCCAGTTTGGTAAAAAGGCAGCCAACTTGGATACAACATTTATGGAAATTTCAAACATCCACAACAATATGCTAGGCAGTACTTCTTTTTTTCTCTTAGTGCCGTATTTCTAAAGAAACGTGCCCTTTTGGGTAATTAAACCTAGACACACACACATATATATATATATAAAACAGAAAATGTTTGCCCTTCATGCATGTAGCTTGCGGACAACAAAAAGTTGTAAGACAGACCCAATTGAGTGTGGACAACCGATCACATGTAAGACAAAAATTGAAAAAACAGGCAAGTGCTTAAGTAACTTAAATCTGCTAAGCGGTTTGCTCTTTCACTCTTTCATTGCTATTGAGGAACGACTTAAAGGGTGAGGGTATTTCAGTCATTTCACGCACAAGTTATCAACCTCACACAAATAACAAGTATCATAATTTAACCGATTGCTACATAACATAATATCCAAAACTATGAAAAATTCTTGGGCAATCAAGGTTTACCATAACACCTAATATACACTTGAATCATTACTCGACATGTGTAAAAGCGCTTTCGGGGATAAGTATGTTTCTATCATGGAGCATTATTTGTACCACAATAATAAAGGTTGGTCCCAACAACCGAGGGCATTTTGGTGAATTCAAGCGGGAAGAAAGGCAAAGAAGGTCATTTTCACACTTAACAGTCAAATTCTGCGGTGACCTTACGCTACCAAAATCCAACATATCCTACACCGCATACCCTCAATCGGTTCCTTTTTCCTTCACCTTTTTATCGTCTCGAAAAATATAAAATTATTTTTTTTCTAAAAAGGAAACCGCGTTGTTTAAAATACTAGTATAACATAAACGCCCACAAAATAAGGCAGAGTTACCTTAACCTCCTCGTAGAGTTTCTTCTCCCAAGCCAAAAGCCGTTCCAAAGTGGAGCAAAGACTCTTCGGACCGCCCGGTTCTTCCAGTGAACCGGCGTCAAGCCGGTACTTAACCGCCAGCGGCGGGTTCGAGGGCCAACTCGAGCTCAAGTTGCTCAATATGCTACTCGAGTGATACACAGTTTCTGCAAAATCAAAATCAAAATTCAATTCAAACCTGCCCACAATTTCCAATCCACTGTTTCAAAATCATGAAAACCAAAAACCTTAATCCTAATAAAAAAAAATCACCCAAAAAGCAGAAAAATTAAAATCCCCCAAAAATAACCAAAACACAAACCTCATCACACCCCCAATTAAAACATTTAAACACCCCCATTAGACCAACAAAATTTATCCAAATTAAACATGAAATAAAACCCAAAAACAATCCCTCGAGTGCTTTATCCTTCAAGATTCTTTCCCAAATTAAAATTAGTGTTCAAGATAGAAAAAACTTAAATACACTTCTTTGTATATACTTGTAACACTAATTTCCATGAGCTAAAAAAAACTGGAATTCTAATAGAAGAACATGAACAGAAACCCCATAATCTACCTCACCCAAAAGACTACTAAAAGTGCTTTATGGACACTGATGAAAAGTCCAATTAAGTATGATAAAGATGGAAACAGAGTAAAACATACTCCTCAATTGTCTGAAGCTGCGATCAAGCTGAGCCTTGCTGATCTCGAGCATCTCAGAAACCTGATCCCCAGCAGAAGCAGCGTTGTCGAAATTCTCTTTAATGGCCTCCACGATCTCTTTCAAGTCCCTATGCCTCACCACCATCTTCATCTCCGCCACGGACGAGGCCGCGTCAAAGCCACCGCCACCTCCACCACCCTTAACACCCGCAGCAACACTCTCCGCCCGCACAGAGGAGCCGAAATTCGACCGTGTCCCGATTTCAGACCTGGACTCGACATCCTCCTCAACCCCATCATCATCATCATCATCGGAGGAACTGGTGGTGCTGTAGTGATCCCCCCACTCACTACACTGAACCTCCTCCCTCTCAGTCTCGGTATACTCCTCCTGAAGATGATGAGAGTGAGAGTGAGAGTGAGAGTGAGAGGGAGAGAGAGAGTGGTTCTTCTGCGATTGAAGCTTCTCGTGGAAGTAATCGTATTCAGATCTCTCGGAGTCGGTGTCGTGCGGTTGGGGAATGGTGTTTTGTGAGTTGTGAGAGTAATGAGAGGGTGTTTGTGTTTGCGTTTGGGTCTGTGTTTGCGTGTGTGATTGTGATTGTGATTGTGATTGTGATTGTGTGTGTGATTGTGATAGAGAGATTTTATCTTCTTCGGGGAAGTAATCAGAAGCGGGAGGGGGTGGAGGAGGGTAAAAGTTTTCCCAATTCCAAACGGAGGAGGTTTGGGAAGGGGTGGAGGAGTAGGTCGAGTGTGCGGTGGGGAACAAGTTCGACACGTGGCTTCGGGGGGTGGAGGAGGGGCTTGAGTCCGAGAGAATGTGGGGGAGTTTCTGCGCCGGAGCTTTACGCCGCCGCGGGAGGAGCTTCGGCTGAGGGGGAGGCGAAGGGGAGGGCGGCCGAGGGGGTGGAGGGGAGGGGGCCTGGGGCTGCTGGGAGCTCAGGAAGACGGCCGGCGTGTGCTCGGAGATGGAGAGGGGTTCGCCGGCGGCGAACGTGGAGAGGGCGGAGCCGGTGAGGCGGAGGGAGCGGCAGTAGTCGGAGTGGGCGGCGGCGAGGTGGTGTCGCGCGTAGACGGCCTCCTTCATGAGGCGGCGGCGGTCCTTGCAGCGACGCACCGTGTCCTCGTTTTGCAGCTTGGAGGCGGTGCAGCCCATGGGTGGTGGCGCGTGGGCGGGTTTAACAAGTGAAGGGAGACGAGGGAGTGAGTGAGTGAGTGAGTGTGAGTTTAACAAGTGCCCGTTTATTAGTTGTTTTCTATTTTCTTTCTATTCTCTATGTAATTTATTTATTTATTTTTTTTTTATGTGAAAAGGGTTACTGTATGCACAGATTGTGATCACTCAAATTCCACAGGTAAAAATATCCGCTATTCAATCTTTATTACTGTGCTCCTAATGTTTTATATTAATAAAAAAATATTCTAATTTCTTATTACCACTTCCAATAACTCTAGCTGTACGCCACATGATTTCTGTTCTTGCTCTTCCACTCTTGCATGCTACCTCAAAATATTACTTTATAAACTATAGTTACTAATTTAACTGCGCGGTTAGAGAGAACTCAAATTATTTTTTATTTTATTTCTTTCTTTTATTACCTCAATTTTTAAAATAATGCTATATTATCTTTTTAATTCAAATATTAAAATAAATATATATATTATTATGCATGTAAGAAGGTAGCATTATTGGCCAGATAGTATTAATGAAATGTAAACTTTTAATATATTAAATAAAAACTAATGCACAGTGATAAGAAAATTGAGTTAATTAAAATAATGAATCATCTTACATGTTCTATACACAATGAAAATATCACAAACATAATCTATATAAGAATCTCTTATATGAATTTTTATTTATTTTTAAAATGTAGTAAAATATAAAATTGAATGGTTTATATAACTAGTTTTAATAGTGTTGTAGAAAACTATTTTTATTCTATATTTTAACCGGTTTTTACTAGTTTTTACTAGTTTTTAACTAATTTTATCAATGTTTTCGTTAGTTTTTTTTTTTATTTGTCTGAATCAATTACTTGACTAGCTTTTAATTCAACCAATCAAAACTAAATTGTTCGATTTTCAAAAAATATAATCAGAAGTGTATAAGTTGAAATTTAATTCAGGAATCAGGATGAATTCATTAAATTGTCAGAAATTAATCAACATTTATGTATTTATAATTTTATATGGATGTTTATAAACATATGTAAAACATAAAAAATAAGTATAAATATTTTATTAATAATAAATGTATAAATAATTATTTAAAAATTAATTTTAAAGTTAAGCTTTAAAAAACTATTAAATATAGTCAATAATATTAATTAAATAATTAAGAAAGTTATTGAATATTTAATAACAGATTATCTATATTTATTGTAATTAAATATACATCATTAAATTAAAATAATCTTTAAAAATATTGATGAAATCTGTATTAAAAATTATAAATAAAAAACACATAACAAAAAAACTACTAAAAGCATATTTGGAAAAGATTATAATATTATATTTAAGTTATTTTTTGAAGAAAAAACTATTTACACAAAAAAAAATTGTGATTTAACATAACAATTTAAATTTGTAAACAATTTTTTTCTTGAAAATAAGATGCTTTTATGAAGCTGAAAATTTGAAATTTACAAGTATTTTTTAATAAACTTTTTCTTTTAAGTTGACTCACTATGTAATTTTTTTTATATTTAAACAAAAATAAATATTTTAAAGTCATTTTTAAATAAATCTATCTAAACAAAATTCCATTCTTATTATAATCAACCAGTGGGTTGAGGCACTTCGTGTCTTTATTAAAAATAAAATAAAAATAAAAATTAAATAATAAAAATATATTATTTTTTTTTTTTGTAAAAATAAGAAAGATTACAAAAATGGTCGCAATAAGAGTTGAATCTAAGTCTTCATGTTTTTAATTATCCTAATTAATATTATGATTAATCCATTAATTTTAAGTTTTTAAATTTGATTAAAAAATATTTTTAAAAATTTTTCAAAATAAAAGAGTATAATTATAAAAAAAAATAAAAACTAAAGTGGTTACTAAAAAAAATATCCTTTACATATTAATATAGATTATTAAATAATTTACTCTTCACAACTTTGACAAACACTTTATATTATATTATATATATATGGGTGTTTTAATGTGTAGTACTTCTTTTTTAATGAATAATATATAGTATCTTTGTCCACCATCTCGGTGAAAAAATATTAATGAGATATAATTTTTTTTAAAAAAATTCCTCTTTGTACCACAAAATCAACTTTTCCATTCTCTTTTCCATTTTGCTTTGTAAATCTTCGATATTAATAAGCCAACAAAAGAAAACATGAACTTTTTATGCTGGAAACAAGATGCAATCTATCAAAATGTCATTTTATTTTTTATAAATAAATAATAATAAAAAAAGTCATCTCATTTTTTACCACCAGTGTGGAATTAGGTGAATCCATATTCAGGGAGATATTGTTAAAATTGTCATTAATCGTAATTTTTTTTTATGTAGATTACAAGCATATTATTAGTGGAACTAGCAATCTGTTGAGAAAATAATTTAATACTGTTTCTAATATTAGATAAATTAATTTGATGTTGACCATTTTTAAAAACTAATTAATATTTGTGATAGTTTTTTCCTTTGAGGAATATTTGTTATGGTTGACGACAGAATGTAATGTTAATTTTGAATGAACAAATTAATGTGACGTATAAAGTAAGAGTTCAGTGTCAAATGTTATTTTTTATTGGTTAATAAAAGCTGTGCAATCGTATTTAATTATATTTTCATAATTCAATTAAGACAGGGTTGAATAGCAGGTAAATAATAAATTATAATCAAGCTGCATGTTAGCAATAGCAACCTAAAAATCTTTTCAAAATTATGAAATTGTTGAATGGCTTTCGCATCCCTGTGTCAGAGATGGCTTGTTACATCACAAAGTCAACTATACATTTAATATTTTCATTAAATTTAGGTTTCACTAAAAAGTCCCAGCATAATTTGCTTTTTTATTTCAAAAGATCAGAGATTATTATAATTAAAAACTAAAGGCATCAAGTTATAACTTTTAAGTACCTATAAATAAAAAAGTTCGAGTAAGAAATAATACTTAATTACAAACAGGATTAGTTGAAACTTGAATTCCTTAAATACGCAAAAAAAAAATTTAATATACTACAATAACGAATAGAAAACTATCAAATTAAATCAGAAGAACAAATAGAAGAGAGAGAGGTTAAAAAACTGAACCTAACCTAACGGTGGAAATAGATTTTTTAATAATTCATATTCCCAGCTTTCGTAATAAAAAAAAAATTCTTTATATAATTAAATTTTGTTCAACTTAAAATAAAAGGAAATTATATTTTAATTTTGGTTTAAAAGTATATGTGTAATTTTAATAAAATATAGTATTAATTACACTTTTGATTTCTCAAGTTTGACAATCGTACAATTTTTAGTTTTCTAATTTCATTTGAACGAATTAAATTTTTAAATATTATATATTTTTTAGTTAATTTTTCACCATGATAAGTAAGTAATTTCACATCTCCAAAATTTAAGAGCTAATTTTAAAATAAAATTAACATTTTTTAAAATTAATTTAAAATGTCTTACTTCAAAACCCGCTTAAAACCTAAATACATGTAATTAAGTTCAATCCTTCTCTCCTTTCATATGTTTTTTTATTTCATCATTGTAGTAAAAAAAAAACACTTAACAATAATAAAACAGGAAAGAAAATATTAATATTCAAAAGAAAGAAAATTCTTATAATAATTTATTACTTATATTAGGTCATTTCAAATTCACTATTAATATTTCCATCCTTAGTACTTGAATAGGGAAAGAATTTTTTGTGAAGAAATATGAACTCTTCAATGTTGTGTTTAGTAAAGAAGAATGAAATAAACAGAAAATAAGATAAGTGGGGAGAAGATATATTTTTTAAGGATTAATCACTTTTTTATTCTTATAATTTCATAAATTTTACCTTTGAGATTCTATAATTAAAATCATTCTATTTTAATTTTTATACATATAATTTTTGTTCTCTTTTAATTTTTGTCATCAATTTTATATGGACCAATTGAAGGGACGAATCTAAAATCCTATCAAAATAAGAACTGAGATTTTTTTTTTGTCAATAATAAGTTTAAATAAATATTAAATCATAATTGTTAAATATATCATGTTATTTATTTAACTTATAAATATCATCTTTTAAATCATAAAATCTTGAACAATATAGAATATGTATCATTTTTTAGTCGATTCTTCAATATAATCATATATTTAGTATAATAAATATATTTTATCCTATAAAAAATTTTAAGGAGTAAAAAGAGATGGAGTGTAGTGACTCGACAAGTCACTATATAATATAACACAGCACTAGACAATGAAGAATATAAAGGATTTGACTACATAGGATTTTCATGCAATAATACTTAGACATTTATACAACAAATATATGTATAAGGTGTAAAAAACATAAAGTAGTATGCTAATTTTATACGAAAAACATAAAGCTTCTCATGGAGTTACATTAAAGCCTTGAACATATATATAATATACATCAAATATACAATACTAAATTCAAAATAATCCTAGTTCCGATCAAGCGTCTCTATACAAATATTGTATGTACAACCAAAATTAGGTCATCTCCAACATGATCATTCACCAAACAAAGTCCTTTAACCTAATCTTGTCCTACTCTTATATCAAATATGATTATTCTAGTTCAACGACATGAAAAAGTAAGGATAAGCTTATAAAATAAAAACAACATAACAACATGGAAGTAATAACTTCATCATTTAAATCAACTTAAAATTTTCAACTTAAAAAATAACCACAACTTACAATATCAATTACAACTTATAGCATGCACAATATTCTCAACATAAGCAACTTCAATCTTAACTTAAACAACTAATGCGTTATCACACATATCAACTTATGAAAATCTCCTACAACTGAGGTGAGCAATCCAAGTGGCTTAATCCTATCGAACCATAACATTTGACCTATCTTCTATAGGTCAAGCATAGACAACTTGAAGCTGATCTAAGCACTTGCTTAACAACTTATTTTGGTTTCTTAAGTTTTTCCATTTAAATTAAGAAAGTTTAGTGCTATTGTCAAGGATAAAACATCTTGGGTGTAAGCCTAACATGACCCTAACATGCATAACTAA